GGAGATCTAAATGGCACTTCCACTATTTTCATTAATTATCAAAATTAGATTGTATTCCTCTCCACGGTGGGCCAACAACGCCAAACAAACTGCATATGTTAACACATAGATGATTTTAGACCCCCATCCTCTTCCAGTCTCTTAGCCAAAGATTTTCATTGTTTGAATCTCTATATTTTCTACAACACTTAAATACATGGGATTCTTCAGTCAGTTTTAATTGTTTAGCGTGGTTATTCAGCCATACAACTTACAGCTTTTCCAATTGCTTTGACCAAAGCCTAATTACCTGGTAGTCAGTAGCCAGTATGCTGGTGATCCTAACCTCCTTTCTTCTGGGTTAGAAAGCTTAACGGTTTATCCAACTTTAGTCATCCCGGAATTCACTAAATATTAAATGGGAAAATCTCTTGTGAAACAACTTGTGAACCATTGAACTGGTAATCCCTTCAGAAGACGAAACAACAAACATCAGAATCGCTAACAGACTGACTACCAAATGATGCAGCATTGGTCAAAGCAACTAGAAATTTTGCCAGCTGGATGGGGACGCTATGAAACGCTCAGTCTCATAATCGGATAATCAAAACCCCTTCCACATCCACTCTATATGAGTGGTGAAGGCGCTTGGAAGTAGTTTAGATTTCATAACATTTTCTAAAAAAATCCAATACAGTAGGATTCTGATGATTTTTCAGAAGAAATACGTAACAGTAGCGGCATTTATTTTTAGATTTTCACGGACAACACCGCAGCAGACCGAGGAGAATTTTTGCTCCGGAGAAGTTATTCCACCGTATCGGCATTTGACGTTTCGGCGCTATCCAAAATCGCATTACGAGGAGAATCAGTTGCGTCCAAGCCGATCCCATGAAAGTTTACTTTCATATTCGGGAGCTACGCACATGATTGATTTAGGTGTGTATTATGTGAATTCTCGATTCCGTAAAATTGAATACATATTTATGCAAATCTAAAATTCCCGGAATAGATGTTAATTTATAATCTGATTCTCCAGCTATGCAACTTTCCCAGTTACACTGTCCGCTTGGTGTTCTTCTTTTTGCTGGCAGACCTGAAATTCGCGTTTCTTCTCCTGAAAGGATTAC